CTATTGAGCCTCCTGAATTGAGGGATATTAGAGGATTTTTCTAAGCTTTGTCCCAGGCAGTGATGCGATGAATCCACACATCCTGGGCACCTGGATCCTGATTACGGTTCGTCTTCCCCTTTGGCCACATTCCTGCCCAAGTTGGTCTGTGATTCATTCTGTACTTGCTAGACATGTATTTTCATATTTCTGTCTTTCTGTCAGAGCTGTCCCTGAGTCTGACACTAATGCCACCTGACTCACCCTCTAGATGACAAAATACCCAGGTAAAGGAAGATCCTCAACATATTTGCTGTGGGCAGCAGGAGGCCTGGAGCTTTAAGCTTTCTTTCCAGCCACTAATGTCTCTGGCCGTGGTTCTGCTGTCTTCTCCAGGGACAGGGCTTTGCCCTTCTAGGATGCACAGTTTGCAGGGGACTCCTTACTGTTTCTCGCTCCACTCACCGATTTCAATGTCGAAAATCTTAATTGGGCTGAGTTTAGTATTGTATACTGGAATTGTGAAGTCTTACAGACTACATTGCTTTTTTTTAAAAACAATTAGGGTGAGGAAAGTGCCTGCTAACCATGCTTGAGGACTGGATCCCCAGAACCCGCATAAAAGACGGAGTGACATGGCAGCCTGCCTGTATTTACAGCCCTCTGGAGGTGGAGACAGTGGATCCTTGAACAAGGTGGCTAGACTAGCAATGTTAACGAGCTGCGGGTCCAGCTGTGAGACCTCACCTCAAGGAACACAGTGCAGAGGACTTCCCACAAAGATCTCAGGCCCCTTACATGCACACATGCATGCACGCCATACACATATGCACAAGCAAATAAAAAAGAAAAGATCTAGCTGGGTGTGGTGGTGCACGCCTTTAATCCTAGCACTCAGGAGGCAGAGGCAGAGGAAGGCGGATCTCTGTGAATTCGAGGCCAGCCTGGTCTGCATAGTGAGTTCCAGGCCAGCTGGGGCTACAGGAAGACCCTATCTCAAAAAGACAAAAAAAAAAAAGAAAGAAAAGCAAAAAAAGAAAAGGTCTAGCCCTGTATCTCAAACTTCTGTGTACAATGTGAGAGGTGTGTGTCGTGAAAAGACTGCAGAGTATGCTGCTCTAGCACAGTATCAGTTCAGTAAGAAATGGAGGCAGTGATGTTTAAACACACATTTTTGGTCCCGGTGTGGTAGCCATTGCTTTTAATCCCAGAACTTGAGACGCAGAGGCAGGTAGATCTCTGAGTTTGAGGCCAGCCTGGTCTATATAGCAAGTTGTGGGCCAGTGAGAGCTACATAGTGTCAACAAAACAAAACAAAACAACCCACCACAGAATAAAACAAAAACCACATTTTCAAATATAAAGTATTTCATCCATGACACGTGTAAGCAAAGGCTGATAATAAGCAGAGAAGTTTCTAAGGGAAAAAAAAAAAACAAAAAACTGCCTTTAATGTCAGTTCTGTGCTGGTCCACTTCAGCCAAATCCACAGAAGTGGTGGATCACACAGCCATTTGTGGTCTAGTACAAGATGTTCACTTGGTCCAGAAAAATGCTTCTCTTTCTCAGGTAATTTCAGTTTCTTGGATCCTGGAAGTCCAATACTATCATTTTCTGACTTTTGGCAATTCTGGATCAATTACACAGGTAGCGTTGACATTCATGGGAAATACAAGGCAAATTCACATCACATAATTCACATTATGGTTAGATATTAGTGCCGACACATTGCTTATTTTAGTTTATCTTTAACTTATTTCCCACACTTGAGCAGAAATTCTACAAAAAGGAGACCCAATTTCACTACATATTTACTAATTATCCACTACAGATATTTCCTCCAAATTCTCTCTGATCAATAAAATACAACTAAAGCACAAGGAGAAGCTTGACTAACAGTCACATGATTCTGTAAACTGACTTGAAAAATTAAGGCAAATGTGCATAAATTTTTGTCATCTGTATAATCTATACAGCAGAGTTGCAAAAATTCTACTTAAGGGATTTAGCTGAGAAACGTCACAGGCTATAATGGTCTCCTCCACATCAATTATTTAATCAGAGAACATGTTGTTTCCCAGGCGACTGATGGCCTTGGAAATGAACAGCCACTGTCTGGTCCATGGAGTTGCAGTCTCCTTACAGGAAAGACGGGGGTGATAGCAGAAGATACATGCCATTAACCTCATCTGACCTTTAATTTTTCTTCAAGGTTTGTAATGGAAAGATTCTATAAACCCTAGAACTACAACTTTTGCTATTGCTTCTCCTTTGCCTCACCACACACACAACAAAACAAAATTGAAAGTTATTTAGACTGACAAACTTATTTGTGTGGGCTAAAAAGCTTTGCAAGACATAATTTAAAATTATCATACATAGCTGGCGATGGTGGCCCATGACTTTAATCCCAGCACTTGGGAGGCGGAAGCAAGCAGATCTCTAGTGGGGCTCTCAAAAAAGAAATGATCATATTGAATTTTCACTAAAAAATCATGAAGGATCAATTCAAATTATTTCTTAACTGTCTTCAAGTGGACCGTCATATCTATACAGGTGAACAAGAGGTTAATTGTTCTCACGAACTACAGTGTAGCCCAATGCTGGTGTGGAATTTGACTCTATTTTTACTCTCTCCACTTAAACGTTTTCTCTTCAGTCGGAGGAAAACAGTAATTTACTGTAAGTTTTCAATGACTCATGTACAGACAATGTGCCTGATGGTGTATGATTTTCCCCGTGTTACTTCAGCTCAGTGAAGAACTTCAACTGCTATTCCAGTGGTCATGCGAGCACAGATCAGGACAAAGAAAAGCACCTTGAACACAGGTAGAGGAACACGAGCAAACATACGACATCTCATTGCAAAATAGCCCATGCTGGAGGCAACAGATCAGCCCTTTTGTGCAAAGCTAAAGTATCCAAAGGAAAGCTAATTTTTCTTTCAAAATGGCCGTCAGTGTTTTGTACGCCACTTTACTTACACTGCTCTAGTAAGACAACTCTGTGTGCTATGAGATTTGCTTTCAAGTTATCATGACAGCTAAGGAGGGTATGTGACAAATTTTCTGATAAAATTGTCATGGTGTCTGTACCATGATGTCCTGTTATGAGGAGCTTTCAAAAACAAAAATGCCTAATAACATCTCTCAAGGAACGCATAAATGGGGCTACAGAGAAGACTCAGGAGTTAAGAGCACTTGCTGCACAGTCACTGGACCCTGAGAACCAGAATTTGGATGCTAGCCCCATATTGAGCAGCTCACATGCAACTGTAAATCCAGCCCTAAGAGATCTGACAGCCTTCTTCTGGGCTCCAAGGGCACTTGAACACACTCACACAGACACATATACATAATAAAACAAAATAAACCCTTTAAAATGCAGAAAAATTTGGCTAAAGAGATGGCTCAGCAGTTAACAGTACAGGCTGCTCTTGCAGAGGACCTGGGTTCAATTCTCAGCACCCATATGGCAGCTAACAATTGTCCCTAACTCCAGTTCCAAGGGATCTGAAACCCTCTTCTGACCTCCACAGGCATGCACGACACTGGTGCATTTACATACATACAGGCAATATACCCATACATATAAAGTAAAAATAATAAATACAATATTAAAATAAACAAATAAAATGTAGAAAAATATAATACACAAAATATAAAGAAGTTTCAGGTGATCTCTGTTTTCATGTCACAAAGATGGGGTTAAAAGATGCCGTGGCGTAAAGAAAAAGGAAGCCCCAGCCAAAAAGGCCAAAGCATTTCTTGTAGGAAAGTCCTCACATCTTTCTGATTCTTTTTCTTTTTTTTCTTTCTCTTTTTTTTTTTTTTCATTTTATGTGGACGTGCATCTATCCATGTCCTGCAATGCCTGACAAGGTTAGAAGGCATCAGATCCCCTGAAACTGCAGTTAGAGATAGTTGCTGGCTGCCTTGTGGGTACTGGGAATTGAAACCAGGTCCTCTGTCAGAGCAATCTGTGCTCCTAAGCGCTGAGCCATCTCTTCAGCCCCATCTTTCTAGTTCTTTATCGAGTATAAAATTTGTTTCAGGAGTTGTTAGGTTTTAGAACATTAATTACATCAATATTCATGGAAAAAACTCAAAACACTTTTCAGAGTCAAATATAAATCATACCATCGACATTTATAGTATAAACAGAGAACTGATTGACTGCTGTTTATTTTAAATGATTGGAATATCTGTGCTAATCTTATATAGATAATTATCTTTCATGTGCAGTGGGAATAAACTGATGTATTATTTTCAGTTTATCTTCACACCTTGCTATATCTGCCACCTCTCAATGGCTCTGAAACCACTATCTCCAGCCCAGTTCCTTGCTTCAATATCCTCCTAGACATCTCCACTTAATGTATTTGAAAGGGCCTCCAACCCAAATACAGCAAACTAAATATAGCATTCTTCCCAGAAATCATAGACCAAGGTATCACAATTCAACAAATTGCTCATAAGACCTCATCCTTAACTCACATTTCCCAAGCAATGTGCCATCAAGTTCCTAATATTACACTTGCGGTATATTCTGCCTTCTAAGTAGCTTTGGGATACCACTCTCTTCTGCCTCCATTCCCACTTGTGTTAGTTAAAGCCTTGGACATTTCCCACCTGAATGTTTGTATGAAGCTCGTCCTGCCCAATTGTAGTATTCTTAAGCCTTCCTTCTTTATGGTCAAATCTGTTCATGAAATTAAAATTCTCTAAGACTTTTCACCATTTTTTTGAGACAGGGTCTCCCTGTAGCCCCAGCTAGCCTGGAACTGGCTATGCAGATGAGGTTGGCCTTGATCTCACAGAGATCCACCTGCCTCTGCCTCCCAAGTGCTGGGATTAAATGCATGTACCACCACACCTGAATAAAGTGATCATGGCCAATGGGGCCTTCTTCTTGTTCCTCCTCTATCCTTAAATGAAAAGCAGTTGAAATTAGATAGGAAAACATTAAATATAGCAGAAAAGTGGGAGTCACAAAAAGACTTTCATATCCAAAATGCTTACCTAATGTCTCCCGGATAATTAACTTCCAACCTCTTGCTGTGTGAGAAGAATCTGTCTTGAACAGCAAGGTCAGGCTATTACTGCTGCTCTTAATATCTTGTGGAACCCTAGAACCACAGAATTTTCCAAGAGACCGATTTCCAGTGCTGGAACCATCATAGACCTCCAGGTAGTCATGAGCACAGAGGCTGGAAGGAGCCACGTCGAAATCACTGAACCTGTGAGATGGACCTTGTATTAATACTTCTGGGTGTCCCTTAAGTGGAATCTTTAGTTCTTATAAAATTTTAAAGAGAGATAAAGAAAAGAACTGATAGCAGAGCATCCAAATTTCAGTTGGTAAGAAGCTTATACCTATGACCCTGTTTTACTGATGGATTCAAGTAGTGAGACCAGCATTTGAATAATTATAACATGCTAATAACTGTGCTCAGAGTAAGGGATAAAAAGTCAAATAAGGTATGGTTCTACACCTCAAGAAGGCTTAAGTCTAGGTCCAATGGACATCAATTTAAAATTAAATTTTGCTATTCCTTCATAATTTCATACATAAATAATGTACTTTGATCATCCCCCTTACCACCTCTCACCCCCGTGCTGTGCCATTTCGTCCTCCCAGCGAGTCCCCTCTTCCTTTCATGTGTTTTTTGTATGTACCCCACTGTATTTAATTAGGGTGGCTTGCATGAGCATGGCTGAGGGGTTATGCTAAACCCAAATTATAGCATCTGGTAAGCAGCAGAACCTCAGTAAAATTATGATTTTATAAAGCAGAAATATGAAATTATTTCCCATAAAATACATAACGTATAAAATCAGTGGTATAAAAGAGTGAATCAAATTCTGTTGTGTTTGATTGGATGGCTCTGCCTTCCCAGCACGGGGTAGGGCTGCCTTACAGATACAGACTGAAGCCTGGTGCAGCCATAGGACCCATTCCAGCAATAGAATGTCAACAGAGGGTTAGACATCACTCGATGGAAGACATTTTCAAAGCACAACTTGTGCTGGTACATTGCCTTCCACTACTGTGATGCTCACAGAAGCAAAGTAAGGGTGAAGTTGTCATGACCACGGGCCAGCCATCGAGTGACCACAATAATCTGGGCTTCCTTGCCGGGCCATAGTGAACCTGCTTGTAGGAAGGGGGGGAGAGGGCACTAAGCTGGTACCACGGTCTGCTATCACTTAAAACCTTCCTGGCAGATGCACCTCTGCTTTTACTTGGATGGTCTTAATCAGTATTTTACTCTAAACATATGCATTGTCATTTAAAAAAATGTTTTCACTGACTGTCATTTTTTGGATTTTTGTTGTTATTGTTACTGTTTTTTGACAGGGTCTCTCTAGTCCCAGCCCACCTGGAAGTTACTATGTGGACCAGGCTGTTGTTGATATCGCAGAGATCTGCCTACGCCTGCCTCCCAAGGGCTGGGATTAAAGGATCGTGACACCACACCTGACATTTGACTCATTTTTAAGTAACTGTACCCAGAAATCCAAATAAGGAAGGCATCCTATGTGGCTTTACATTAGGACTATATGGTAGGCTTATTTTTTAAAACTCATTTACAGTTTTTGATCTTCTGTCCTTATTTTTATGTTTTGCTCTCTCAATAATGTTTGCTAGGAGCGCCAATGAGCAGAATGGTATAGAATGATTTTGAAAGAGCGAAAAGTAAACATTTCCCTTTTGTGAGCCTTAAAAAACATGATGCTTTTCCTAAAGGGTTTTGGTAGTTGGCTGAATATTTTGAAACTAAAGATGAAGATTAAGGTGAAATTATAAGACCTGTTTTAACTGGTAGAGCTCCTGCTTCAACCTCAATCCCCACTGGATTGTGTGAGGCTGAGAAGACCATTTCTTAGGTTTCATTGCCATATGGGAGCCCTCTTACTTCCTCTAGAGTCCATCAGGCTACTGATGAGAGCTCATGTTTCCCATCACCAAAGGAGTAGCTTTTCTGTGGACAGATATGAGAACATTTTCTTAAACAATCAAACGTATCTCACATACCTAACCAGAACCACTCTGCTGCTTCTAACGTGGATACTGTAGACACAGTAGACGTTGTTTGGGTAGTTGGTGTAGGAGTAGGAAGGACTCTTGAGGAGCACAGTGGATCTGTTGTATATTCCACCACAGGCTGCAACAGAAAGCAAGGGAATGCTCAGGGGCAATTCTTATCCACAACATGGGCAAATCACTTTGAGATAAGAGCTAAGAACATTTATAGCAATTTTCCTTAAAATAACTTAAATCTCCATTGTTCTTAGAAATCGTTTTATTTTTCCAAGGAAGAGGAAAATAAGTTAAACAGAGGAATATTCTAAGGCATGTTTTGGAAAGGAGTAAGTCTGAGTTGAATCAGCACTGTGAAAACTGGGGAAGAACCCGCACATGCTGGGACACGTCTGTCCCTTCACTCGTAATGACTGGTCAACAGATGACATGGTGTTTAGGAGAGGCAGGCGGAATCCAAGTTGTGTTTTGTTTACAGAAATCTGAGGAAACTGAAGTCCAGAAATGTGAAATAATACAGATTCAGATCTCCTCTGTTAGGCATAGAATATTATAAAGTGAAGAGTTGGAAATCATTTTGGAACTACAAGTTCGATTAGTTCTGTGAGCCAAATGCCTCGCTCTTAGGTTCTATAGATTTGTATTTAGTTATGAGGCTCATAAATATTATACTTGCCCAAATTTGTATTATTTGTCTTCAATAAGCATGAGGAAGCTAAATCCACTCCTTACTTTAACTCTGGCAATTCATAGCCCAGAGCCCTCGGTTATATCCACTAGTCAACAATGTAGTAACCATAAAACAAAATAGAGCTCCATTGTAAATAATAAGAAGCTATCATTACATATTGCTTACATATAATAGAGATTAAATGTTTCCACCCAAGAATGGTAAGTGCTTCATTCCCATACTCATGAGCAAAGCCTGTGATTTGTTTTGTGATTCTAAAATTATACTTAGTCCATATATTTTGATGATATTTCTATGGATGCTAATAGGCATGATCTGCTAACATAGCTCCAAGATTAGAGACCGACTGGGGCTGTTATTTAAGGCTGTAGCTTATTTGTTTTTGTCCCAACTTTTCCCTCTGTGCTTAAAGTATTCATGTGTTTAGACCTCTGGGTATATCTGTTATGAATTAAATGTCAGGTTTGGGTAGCAATTAGTGTATTTAATTTAATGTATGATTGTGTAGTCTCTGAAAGTTTATCATTGCCTACACAACTTCTATCTCCACATTGTCAGGATTTGAAGTTGGTACCATCAATGATCTTTATGTGAAACTTACATTATAGGGAAAGTGAACTTAGAACACTGTAGTTCAGGCAGACGAGGGGCCAAAGAGCAAAGGACTATAAATCAGGGGCTTAACCCTCCAAAGTGGTGGCTAATGAAAAGAATAAAAAATTCTTCCTCCTCTTCATTAAACAAAACCATGAGGGAAGATGTGTTCTATTCTGTCGGTGTCATCAGACATAGATACCTACACAACCATTCCTTATAAATTTTGGGGGTTGGGGCTGGAGAAATGGCTCAGTGGTTAAGAGTACTGACTGCTCTTGCAGAGGACCTGGGTTCGATTCCAAGCAACCACATGGCGGCTACGAACTGTCCTTAACTCCAGTTCCAGGGGACTACGAAGTCCTCTTCTGACCTCTGCGGCACTGCACGACATGGGTTCACTCACATACAGGCAGGCAATACACTCATACACATAAAATAAAAATAATAAATTTTTTTTTAAAGTTGGGGCTCAGGAGTCAGAGATCAGTTAATGAGAAATTATAAAGGCCCTTTTTCATACATAAATATATGCTTTTAGTTTCTCTGTGGATGAAAAATGTACTTTATTTGGAGGGAAACTATTTAACATCCTACAACTAGACATTTACCTGGTCAAGCAGAGACAAAAGGAAAGCAGGAACAAGTTTGCATGTGTGCCTCACTGAAGTGAGCATGCTGGGGTAGCAGCTGTCCACATTCTAACCCAGTAGGAGGGGAAACACTACACAACACGGAGAAATGTGATCCTACGATTTTCTATAGGTCTACAAAGGTGACCTGCATGTGGCTGTTGCTTTCCCTTTGTCCTTTGTTACGAAGAAATGGTCATTATAGCATAACTGGATTCCCCAGCGTTCTCCTTCAGTGTCTGTGCATTCTCACGGTGTTTTGGAAAGCTGGTCCTTTCTGCTACAAGATGTAAAAATGTTCTCTTATCTCTTCTAAATGTATGAGATATTGGTATCTGTTGTTAACAGAGACATGGGGGTGAAGCATGTGTCTGCTTAATCAAGGCCAAAAGGCACATTTATATAACATACAGAAATCTAAACAGTAAGAGTGTTCATTCTTAAGTCAAATTACAAAACAAATCTCAACTCTCCATTTGATTTTCAGAGGGTAGTTCCAGGCAGAGTTCATGAAAAGGTCTGTTTTTATTTTAGTTCTTTAATTTATTTATTTTTATGTGTATGTGTGTGCCTGCTTATCTGTATGTGCAACACATGCATGCAGGTGCCTGTGAAGATCAGAAGAGGGCATTAGAGCCCCTGGAACTAGAGTTACAGGTGATTATGAGCCACCCAATATGGGCACTGGGAAACAAACCAGGTCCTCTGCAAGAGCAACAAGTGAGTTTAGCTGTTGGGCATCTCTCCAGCCCCTTAAAGGTCTATTTCATGGTGGTACACACCTTTAATTCCAGCACTTGGGAGGCAGAGGCAGGCGGATCTCTGAGTTCAAGGCCAGCCTGGTCTACATAGTGAGTTCCAGGACAGCTGGGGCTACAGGGAGAGACCCTGTCTCAAAAAGACCAAAAAAATAGTCTATTTTTAAAGAAAGTATGTTTGTATCATGTACCTAGTTGATCATTTTTGCCCTTAAAGTTTCTGAATCTTCAAGTTGGTGGTATATAATGATGAGTCACAATAATTCTTATGAATTAAACAAGAAAGAAAAAGAAGAAAGGAAGGAAGGAAGGAAGGAAGGAAGGAAGGAAGGAAGGAAGGAAAAAGAAAATTCCAAACTATATCAGTATATATACTCACTGGTGGTCCTATAGGAGATCTTGAACCCAAAGTCTGTGGCATATGCATTTGAGTAGAAATTGAGCAACACGGGGCCAACCATGGTGAGGGGGCCCAAGGACTCAGAACCACACAGGGTAACCACAGGAGTGGAAGAGAGGCTGTGTCCTTTGATGATGTGCAGGCCATCATGATCACAGCTTCCAGTGATGGCAGAGCGATCTACATAGAGCACAGAACAACCAGAATCAGAGCAGAGATGATGTAGACAGTGCTGTAAACAGTCAGACCAAACGTCGACAATTCTGCAAATAACCTCCAAATTACAACCAGAGTCGTGGTTTTCTATGTCAATACATGGCTTCATTTTCTGATGAAATGATGTTTATTTATCCAAGTATAAAACAAGGGCAGACACAGAAAGCAGGTAGAGCTCCACAGTGCAAAAATTCCATTTGGAAGGACCTTGGAATTTCTTTCTCTACAAAACAGTTTCATTCATTGAGAATTGTAAACTGGAGACAACTCTGCCTTCTCGGGGAGCCAGTTGACAATAACTGAAGACAAATTTTGCTGAAATATTGGAGGATGGGGTAGGGGCCAGGGAAGCCATTTAAGCAGGCTGCAGCACACAGGACTGTTCCACACTCAGAGCCCTCCTACTGCCAAAAATACATTTGGTCCAAAAATGCCAACAGTGCTGCTTAGTAAAGAAACTTTCCCCAAAGATTGGGTACTGATAAGAGAGCAGCCATGAACAGAGCACCAGCAGTCCCTTGATGGTTCCTGAACAGCCTGCTTCCATGCTGATATAAACATCAGCCTCAAGTCTTTAGTGATTATACATTTAGACAGCAGTATTTGTCTTCTAATTTTAAAGTCAATCTCTAAACCCCCCTCTTGCAAAGACAACATAAAACAGCATAAGCAGGACTTTAAAAAGACTTGCTGCTGGGGCTGGAGAGATGGCTCAGTGGTCAAGAACACTGTTCTTGCAGAAGACGCGGGTTCGAATCCCAGCACCCACATGGCAGCTAGCAACTGTCTGTAACTCCAGTTCCAGGGGATCTGAGAGTCTTTTCTGTCATCCGCAGGCATTGCACATCATGGGTGCACTTACGACATGGGCGTAGGCAATACACGCATACACATAAGATAAAAATAATAAAACATTTTTAAAAAGACTTGGTGCTACAATGTACTTGTTTTTTATAGGCAAGTATATACTTATCAAAACATTAAATGGCATCACATGGAGCACAATCTTCATAACTTAATTTTATTAACATAAAAACAGTATTGTATGTAAGTTGATGTTTCGCTAAAACATTTGACAAATGTATACATTAAATTCCAACATAAAAGTCACCTGGGCATGTTAAATCAAACCCTTATGATTAATAAATTGTCTCTTGTGACTAAACACATTGTTGTAAAAAACCCCTTGTACATATATTTTTTAATAGTTTCTTATTTCATTAGAATATTTTTTAGAGTTACTAGTACTAATAGAAGATTGTTTTCCAGGTTTACCCAAAGGTCCTTTGGAAAGGTCGTGCCAGTTGACACTTCCACAGCCCTGTAGGAACTCAAGAAGAAGATCTTCCCAGTTCTACAGCCTGATTGCCCCATGAGAACACACCGTTGTATTCACTGGCTCTTACTCTCCATCTCTTCTGTTTTCACTCCTTTCTGGTCCCCTGAGACCACTAATCTGCTTTCTGTGTCTATGGATTTGTTTATCCTGGACGTTTCAAACAAACAGAATCATGCAGTTTGTGCTTTCTGTGGTGGGCTTACTTTCTTTAACATTCTGAGATTCGCCCATGTTGTCACGTACATCTGTATTCTATTCCTTACTTAGCTGAATAACATTTCTTCTTATGGCTGTGACACATTTCCAGAACTTATCAGTTGACAGACATTGACCTATTTGCAATGCAATTTTCTTGAGTATATAACTGAAATTTGCTGGATCATATGGTAACTTGATGTTTAATTAATAATTTGAAACACTGCCATTCTGTTTTGCCAAGTGGCAATATGACTATCCTGTATTTTAATATACATAACTAGATACCCATGATGCATGCACGTCCCAATTTTCTCCACATTATTATTACCACTACTTTTTGTCTTTTTAAAAATTACAGTCACCATATAGGACATGGAACAGTAGCTGACTGTGTTTTTAATTTGCATTTCCTGAAACTTACGATGTTGAACATCTTTTTCATGTGCTTATTGTATATTTGTGCATCTATTTTGAAGAATTGCCTCTTCTTCCATTTTAAAATTCGGTTTTATTTCTTTGTTGTTCTTTTGCTGTTCTTGGAACCAGCGTCTCTCTAGGGAGCCCAGACGGGCCTTGAACTCCATCTCCTACCATGTCTCTCATCCAACTAAGTACTGGATTGCAGACATACACGACCAGGATGAGCATTAAGTTGTCTTTCTGCTGTTGAGTTTGAGAGCTCTTTTGCAGTCTGGATACTAACACATTTCTCTTGACTAAGAGCTAGGACTCCACCTAGTGAGATACAAATTAGCTGTGCACTTAACTTGCACAAGAAACTGCCAAGCAGATTTGGAAGTGATTGTACATTCTCAGCAGGAACATTTTAGATTCCATTGTCCTTCATGCTTGTCAGTAACATTTGATTCTGCCAATCTGTGCTTTCAGTCACCCTGGTCCATGTGTGATGAAGTCTCACGAGGAGGCTTCCTTCGCATTGCTCTGATCTCTAATGACACTTTCCACATTCTTATTTGCAAACCTCAAAACACTTTTATTTCAGGAAGTTGCTAGGTGGAATGTATATTTAACATCTCCTCCCTTTTAACATAGAAACTTCAGTTATTTACAAACGCCCCATTAAAACTAACCAAAATTGTATTCCAATATTTTACGGGAGCACAGCAGACTCTCAAATCTGCCTACTTCTTAGCTGTTTGAACACCTACAAATTAGAGAACCTAGGATGCACATTGATATAATAATTTCAAGCCACCTGGCCATGGATCAAGGGTGAGCTTGTAATGGAAAACAACCTAATAATTTCAAGTGCTCTGTTTAGAATTTGAAAAGGAGGAAGTCATGTGTTCAGATAAATAACAACTAATTCTCTGACACAGAAAACAAAAACAAAAAACCCTCAGTTGCAGCATTTGCCAACTTCCATGATGTAAATACCCCAGAGCTAATTTCAAACTACCAAAATTAGGTCACTCTATGTGGGAAACTGAATCTTGTGAGACAGTGTAGGTAGAAATCAACTCCAGCATACCACCAGGGATGCCCTCTTTCTTCCTGTGTGTTGGTGAGCTCCTGCTCTGAGGACCCTACACTGCGGGAGTCCCTCTCAGGTGAGAATCAGCCTGAGGTAGGACAGTGTAGCAACAGAAGCACCGGAATATCTGCAGTGCTAAGGATTGGATGCAGGACCCCTGAGCTATATCCCCAGCCCCTGCAACAGAATATTTTAAGACACAATTAAGATTCCGGATGAAGCAGGTTTAAGCAACACACAACTTGAATTCCTTCCAGAAATAAAAGCCAATAAAATGTCATTTCATGCCAAGCATGGTGGCAGCCTTTAATCCTAGCACTTGGGAGGCAGAGGCAGATCTTTGTGACTTCGAGGCCAGCCTGGTCTACATAGTGAGTTCCAGGACAGCTGGGGCTATAAGGAGACCCTGTCTCAAAAAAGACAAAAAAAAGTCATTTCATATTTAAGAATTAATTTTCCTGTAATTGTATCATAAAAATGTCTAATCAGTAAAGATGATATTATGAAATTTGCAGGTACGGAAGTAGAAGTTGTTATACTAAGTGATGTAACACAGACTCAGAAAAGCAAGTAACATATGTTCTCTCTCATTTGTGGATCTTAGGACCAAATCCGTAAATGTGAGTATCCTGATATAACTGCAGGAGCCAGGAGAATGGAAATGAACAATGGGGATAAAGGGGAAGAAGGGGCTCAAGAGAAGGGAGACAGGCGTTAGTAATGGGGGAATGGGGAAAGGGGGGTACTTTAACTAGGGAGGAAGTAGGGGGGTTATACAGGGAAGTGAGAGGAGAGATAAATAATGCTTAGATGGTATGAAAAACCAGAGGGAAATGCATTAGTTCAAAGTCATACTGAAAAAATACACGTACAGTAAAGATACAAGCACATGTGTATAGCTGAAGGCTATATAACAAAAAACACAGTGACAAGTGGGAGAAACTTAAACCTCCCATCGAGTTTTTGGTCAGGGTAGTTCAAGAGACTCCCCAAATAACACAGGCTATTGCCACAGCCCTTGATTGCAACCCAGAACTTGAAGGTAAGACCCTACTGCTGAAGACAGGTCATACTTCAGACACATGACTTGGAGCAATCAAGCTGTAACTGATCAGAAAGCCTCCTCCCTGAAGCCTAGCTCTCATGGAATCAGAGGATACTCTACAAGCTGCCAAGGGAGAAAAACTAATGAATGGTCCTACCCAGCTCTAAAGTCTATAAACAACAATGACTGGCCCAGCAAACTATTGCTGTTGATGCAGCAGTGGCACTTTTATCTTGGGGTAATCAACAACTGTCTAATTTTAATTAGGGCCCACTAAATTGGAAGGAACTCACATGTGGTACTGTATGCATAGACAAATACACATGGCTGGAGAAGTCATAGATCCTAGAGAAAAACCTATTCTTGCCACATCCCTAGACCAATATAATTTCTTACTTTATTCTAAATATGCGTCCTCATATTTACAGACAAGTGTTCCTTTCATCCCCATCAAAGAAATTTCTTTTTGCAACAGATGGAGGCTATTACAGAAGTCCAGAACTAGTCAAACACCAAGAATAAGTGTCTGTGAGACACTTAATCTTAAGTGACACATCTTCAATGTAGCCTCTACACTTAGGATGAATGCATCTCTTAACTCTCACCAGAGAAGTTTTCTTATGCAGCAGATGATGATTAACACAGAAGCCTACAATTAACCAATGTGCAGAGAACAAGAGACCACAAAGTGCTAATCCCTGAACAGGACATCTATTTCAAACCTCTGCCTACCAAGACTCAGGGATCATTGCAGAAGACGAGGCAGAAAGACTGTAAGAGCCAGAAGGGGTAGATGAAGGAAACAGTCATCCAGAAACCTAGTTATTTACTTAGATGAACTCACAGCATGAACAAGTCTTATGAAAAGTCAAATTAGATAAAATCTC